CCAAGAGCTTGTAACACTCCAAAGAGAAAGGAAAAATTGAAATCGCATCATATGACCCCTTTAAATATCTATCCATCCATCCATCCATGTTTTCATTGTTTTAAGTATAAACCTCACTAAATGTTGTTTCTTAATGTTAGCTTAAAATGAAAATAAAAAGCCATTGGGGTAAGAAAAAAATAATAATATAAAAAAATATATAGAAATTGTCTAATAATAATAATAATATTAATACATTTTATTTGTATTTCATCTTTCATAAAACCTGAACATAAAGTTAAAAACAAAAAAAAAATGTATAGTCTCTATTTGTTAAAAAAATAAAATAAATCAGTATTTTGTGAAATATTTACAGTTACAGTTACAATTTAAAATAAATGTTTTCTATTTTAATATATTTTAAAATGTAATTTATTCCTGTTATGCAGAGCTGAATTTTCAGCATCATTACTCCAGTCTTCAGTGTCACATTACTTCACAAATCATTTTAATATGCTCAAGAAATATTTATTGCGGCTTAATATTTTTGTATAAGCCATAATGTTTTTTTTTTCTTCAAGATCACTTGATGGATATTTCAAAAGAACAGAATATATTTGAAATCTCTTGTGCTATAAATGTCTTTACTCTCACTTTTGATCAATTTAATGTGTCTTTGCTGAATAAAAGTATTCATTTATTTTCAGAAAAATAAAATCTCACTGATCTCAAACTTTTGAGTATTTTTTTGTAATAAAGTTTTACTAAAACAGTATTTTGCTTCTCAAATATATTTATATTGTATTATTCATGTGTTGATATTTTTACTGGACAACTGAATAAAAATGCTAATAATTCATTCATTCACTCATTCTTTCTAGTAGTGAAACTGTTCCCTAGAAATGCTGTGTGGGGGGGAGGGGGGGGTTCAGGACTTTGTCTGAACCTCGTGAGCTCAGCACATCTTTTCTGTTCTCCTGTCAGTCATCTTTTCCTTTCTCCTCCCACAGTGTAGTTGTGATTTTCTGCACAAAGTGGCATGAAATATCTTAAAAGCAACTCGGTGCACATGCTTGCTCAGAAACGCACAGAGGCAGGCTGCTTTTCACAGTCAGCAGTGCCTAAAAGCAAACAGACAGGAATAAACCAGGCAGCTTTGGATTTGTCATTATGCAGGGCATAAACACCCCCCA